GGGAGGCTGGGGCTGGCAAGCAAGGATCCCCCTGCCACACACAATTCCCACACTTCCCCCCCTCCCCCCATACCTGTGCTTTGCAGCTTCTCCAGCGTCTCCGTTTTGCGCAGCATCCTCACGACCTTGTGGAGCCCCATGGAGTCCAGCACCTCCAGCAGCCCGCCCAGGCTGCCGCCTGCAAGCTGGGGAGAGAGGGGCAGTCAGTGGGACTGGCCCTGGGGCAGAGGAAGCAGGGGACCAGGGCGCTCCGAGGAAAACACTGACCTCATAACTGCGCAGGAGGCTGATGCTGGGTGAAGCTGTGTCCTTGTAGGTCTCCACCAAGCTGCACAACCCCAGTCTCTTGGCCAATTCGGTCCAGTCCGAACCACTGCAGTCCTGGTTCAACAACTGCTCCAGGCCCTGCAGTGTTTCACTGTCTAGGGACAGGATGTTCCCTGCAGGGGCAATGCACCTCCATCATATGCTGCCCAGGCACTGGCTGGCAGGAGGGGGTCCTGCCCTGCCTGGGTGCAGCATGCTCGCCTGGGGTGACTGGCGGCATGGGGAGAAGGCCCTGCTCACCTGGCCGGGGGGCAGCAGGCAGCTCACATTCAGGGCTCTGCTGCGAGGCCTGCAGCAAGATCTCCCGCACCTGCAAGACAGATGCACATGAACATCCCCCAATACAGAGATCACCCCGATCTGGCTGCTGCTCCAGCCCGTGCCAAATTGGCGCAGCAGCATGCTGAAAGGGCAGCACAGGCCAACACATCCCACTGCCACATGCAGCCTCCACACCATGGCCCTCCCCAGGGCACAGGACAGCACAGGTCTGGGCGAGGTTGGCTCCAGCTCCCTGGCAAAAGACAGGCCTGGTCTGTCTAGCCATCCTTGCAAGAGGAGCTCCTGGAGCTCTGCCCTCTGTCCATGCTGTAGCCCACCTGAAAACACGCTCCCGTGCGGTTTGACCCCTCACACCCCGCACCTTCTGGCTCCGAGTGAGATCCAAGGGTGTGTGGCACCGGCGCTGCCTGGGGCCTGCCTCCCCGCATCCCTGCTCAGCCGTGGGATCAGAGTCCAAGCTGCGTGCCGTGCTGGGGGTCGGCTGCTCCAGCTCCATGCCCAGCTCCTGCTCCTCGGCATCGGCATCCGTGTCGCTGCTTGCTTCTGACGACGATGGACTCACTGGCTCATCGTTCTCGCACAGCACATCCGCCCCTGTTGGGAAGGGGTGCACTGAGCCCCAAGAAGGGCACGTCGGGCCAGCACCCACCTGCCAAGGGCTGTGAGCCCAGGCAGCCCAGCGTGGGGCTCCCAGTACAGCCCATAAGCTCCCCACACTGCCTGTGTCATTCAGCCCCACAGCATCATCTGGGGCAGGCAGGGCAGGGGTCCTCCCCAAAACCGCTGCACTGCGCCCCGCGAAGGCCAGGACTCGGCCAGAGCTCAGCCGGCAGCAGCGCCTGGGGAGGGAGGGAGGGGGGGAGGGCGGGCAGCACCTTACCTGCTTTGAGGAGTAGCTTGGCGAGGGTGGGGGAGCCCAGGCCAGCAGCCAGGTGCAGGGGGGTGTTCCCAGCAAAGGTCCGGCTGTTCACATCTGCTCCCAGCTATGAAGAAATGCATGAGGCCATGAGGGGGCCCATCCTGGTGCTGTCCCCCACCTCCTTAGACCTCTCCTCACCCCTTAGACCAGAGCCCCCCACTAGCCCTGAGTGCACAGGACCTCTACCAGGGCTGACAGAGGCTCTGCCTCCCCCTTTCACTGTGCTTCAGGCCTATTCCTCTCCCACAGCCATCAAAGCCGGAGAAAGGAGGCCAAGCCCCTCACACCTTCTTCACGAGGTAGGTGGCCATGTTCAGGTTCTCCATCTCCACAGCCAGGTGCAACGGGGTCCTCCCGCCCTGCCTCTCCACAGCATTGACGTCCGCTCCCTTCCTGACCAGAAGGTCCAGGCAGGCCAAACTCTTTGCTTTCACAGCCAGGTGCACAGGTAGGAGGCCTGCAACAGGGAGAGAGGCTCAGTGGCCTCTGGCCAAGCCCTCAACAGCACCAGGTTCCTGCCCCTTTGGGCCTGCCTCCCAGCTTCGCTCACCATGGAAATTAGGCAGACAGAGCAGATAAGGGGCAGCTGAGCCCAGATGGGCTAGCAGCGTCCTCAGCATCTCTTCATCGCCAGCCTGAAGAGCCAGGTGCAGCAGGGAATTGCCATAGCGGTCCAGCAAGGTGGGGTCAGCACGGGCTTGCAGCAGGAGCTGGACCACGTGGGGCTGCTTGGTGATGACTGCCAGGTGCAGCGGTGTCTGCGGGACAGCAACACCACTGTCACGAGCGGTTGCAGAAGCCAAGTCCCACAGCACCATTTTCTTTGCCACCATGGACCCACTGCGCTCAGCCCTGCTGTCTCCCTATGCCTTTCACACAGGACGTAAGCAGGAGACCCCAGCCCCCAGGATCCAGCGATGGGAGCGAGCCCCAGGTAGAGAGGATAGTCCCTCCAGTCCTCTTCCATGGCAACGGACTGCTCTGGGAGAACTGTACCTGCTGCAGGTTGTTGGCCACGTTAATGATCTGCTGGTTGGGGATAGTAACAATGACCTCGATCAGCTGCTTGATCACAGCTGTCTTCTCATGGATAATAGCAAGGTGCAAAGGCCTGGGGAAAGAGAGGAAACAGCCCTTGTCTCAGCTCCACATCTCTCTAGATCCTCCCCACCCGCTCCTATCCATGGGGATGGGCCCCCCACCCCACAAGGGCCCTGCCCTATGGAACAGGGCTCTGACAGGGCCAGCAGGGCTCGAGCACTCTCCTACCCTGCCCGTTCTCGTGTCCGCAGCTCTGCACACTCACGTGTCTCCATTCTCATCCTGCGAAGCAGCCAGGTGCCTCTGGACTGCCAGCAGCATGCGGGGGTCAGCAGTGACAGAGTAGTCGAGCAGGGCATGGGCATTGCGACGGGCCAGCGCCAGCATCCACAGGTGACAGATCTGGGCTGGAAGGCGAAGAAGAGTGTTAGCTCTGGGAGCCCCATCCACCCTCTTGCACCCCAGGGCACAGAGAAGAGTGCAACCCAGCCAGGGTCCTGAGCCTGGCTGGCTGCCTCTCCGGGGACTCCCTCCACCCGCAAGTGATGTCTCCCAGCCCTCGCTCAACCCCAGCCGCCTTGTACCGTGTTTCTGCAGCTCCTGGCAGTACATGCTCTCCATGGGCACCTGCCTGTCGCCCCCATCCCCATCTGTGCTGGGGGCCTTCATCTGCACGCCGCCCTGGTAGCCCCCGACAGGGTGCGGGCCGGATGAATAGATGTTATTGTACGCCAGCCCGGGCGAGTAGGGGTAGCTCAGGTTCCCGCCTGCAGACCAAGATGCAATGGGTGAGGACAGAGGGCAGCAGGTAACTCCCTGTGGCCAGGCTGTGGCAGATGGAACGGGGTGCAGGGAGGGGGGAAAAAGACAGCCCAACTCACCTCCACCAGAGCCAAAACCCCCAGCACCCCCACCAGCGCCCCCCATGTGTGAGCCCCCACCAAAGTGCTGGGGAAACTGGGGCAGGACTTTCTTGCGCTTCCTCTCCACTTCCTCCTTATCTGCAAGGAGAGACACAGGCAGAGGGTTCAGGGACAGGCCTGAGGCCCTGGGAAGCAGGGGGAGCAGGCCAGCCCCATCTGGGCAGCCAGAAGTGCCCAGGTCTGAGGCCACTCACCTTCCACCACAGGGTAGTAGGTGAATTGTTTGGAGTCGCTCACGTCACCCCCTCGCTTCCGCTTCAGCTGTAGGAAGACTGTGACGGGGCGGTCGATCTTAGGCTTGTGGTACGGGGGCGTGCGGAAGACAATGGCATACTGCAGGCAAGACAGAAGGACATCAGACCCCGCTGCTCTCCGGAGCCAGGGACACGCGCTCCCTAACCCCGTGGGGCACCCACCTGCCTACAGGCATGGCAGGCCACCCCTAGTCTCCCCTGTACCTGCTTGTGCACGTCCGTGGGGGAGAAGTCCCCGAAGGCTTGCCAGCCGTTCTCATCATCCTCATAGAAACGAACCTCAATGTCATCTGGGGAGGAAAGGGGAGCCTGGCACAGCCTGTCTCACCGCCCTCCCAGGATCAGCAGGCACAGTCCCCTCCCAGCTGCTGTGGCCCTTCCGACTCAACAGCCGGCTGCCTCGATGCCCTCGGATGTGCATCTCCTCTGCTGCAAACCCTCCAGAAGGTTTTTCTGCAGGAGCAAACGCCTCTTACCTTTCTGAACTTTATCACACAGCAAGTAGACCTCATCCCCTCCCCGCACTGAGCCTGCTGTCTTATCCATTCGCGAAATCTTCAGGTTGGAAGCTCCTGGGGACTCTGCAGAGTGAAGAAGCATTTAGAGCCCCAGTGCCAGATGGAGCGTGTGTGCGAGCTGCTTACCCTGTCCTGCCCTATCCTCTCCCTGCCTGCCCACTGTACAGCGGGGAGGCCGGGTACTGGCACCAACTGGCCAAAATGGAGCCTATTCACCCCTCAACATGCTCAGGGAGATACCCAGCAGGGGTGAGCACATCCAAACCCCCAGGGCACATGACAAAGAGCCACATTCAACAGCCTCCAAGGCCACATCATGGGAACCCCCCCAGCCCAACACCTTTCCTGACCCTGGGCACTGGTGAGGGCAGGGAGCCAGGGCTGAATGAGGACCAGGCTGGGAGAGCCCAGGACAGCACCTAGGCAGGAGAGAGAGGCTCTTCCAGGATTTCCCAGAATAGTTCCCAACCTGTCCCCCACCGGGCAGGATCTGGCCCTGCACTCACTGCTGTCATGGATGGGGTCCGAGATGACAGGCTGCAGGGCCAGCGTGAAGTTCCCGCTGCTGTCACGAAGGTAGGCAGTGAAGCGCAACCGCACAATGCTCAAGTCCATCACCTTCTTCAGCTCCTTCGCCTCCAGCTCGATCTCACGCAGGTCAGCATCTGTCCAGGGCAGAGGAAGATGCCGGTCTTACAGCTGAGCCAGGCAAGGGGAAAGGGCTCCAGGTCCCCTAGCCCTTCCCCCAGATTGACACAGCAGCCCTATGCCAACCCCATCCCTCCAACTGCATCCTCACCTTCCCACAACTCCTCTGAAACCCATAGTGGCAGGTCCCCAATCCTCCTCAGCCTCCCCCCACCGAGTCCATTGAGCCCCCAGGCAGCCCTCACCCGACAGCAGATGACTACTGTTGCGCATCTTCTGCTGCTTCAATTTTTCCTTCATGATCTCCATCATGTTCTTCTTGGTGACGTGGAGCACGCCGAGGTTGTTGAACCTGGGGGGAAGAGCCTGCTGTGATCTCAGGGAGCCAGGGCTGGGGAGTAGCCTGCCCGGGAGGTACAGGGGCTGCCAAGCGCTGGGAAGAAGCTGGCCAAAACACAGAGCAGGGCAGCACAGGCAGCAAAGGGTTAACACGCACAGGGCAACGAGGAGCAGTCACAGTGGGGAGGAAAAAGTAGCCGGGGAAACTCCTTGATGTTGGGAAAGAGCTAATGCCTGCCAGGGAGAACTGAGCTCCCACAGGTGACAAGTCCATAGCGGGGGAACCAGGAAGGCTGGGGGCCACAGAGATGCAAATGGGACCAGGCTGAGCCATCTGCCACCCCTAGCAGGTGGCTGGATTATAAGAGCTACAAGGAGCTTCATATGCAGTGGTAATGAGCATGCAGCTCCTGCCCTACTCCAGCTGAAGTGGGCTGCTAGGCCAGCCACCTTTGGGCGCAAAGCCACCAGAGCCAGCTAGGAGCCTGCCTGCCTCAACTGCAGCAGCTGGCCATGCAGGGGGCCTTCTTCTGGGGTTACCAAATAAGTCCGGCAGACACAGGCTATCTACAAAGTTTTTCTGCAAAGGTGGAGCAGAGCATGCTCCTGGTTGCAGCAGAAGCTGCAACCCTGAGGAGAGGAGTCCAAAGCCAGCAAAAGCTTTTACAGCTGTGCTGCTGGACCCAGAGCTAGGGAAAACACTGAGGGGACAAAGTTGTACTGATGACCTTGTCTAAACATACTCCCAGTCCAACAAAACCTGCTTCTGGAGGCATAAACCCCCTCTCCTCCCCAACCCATAGCCACAGGACAGGCCTCCAGCCACACTGCAGAGACCACTCCTCAGGCCCAACCCTAGGTCTCCCTTGCACGTACTGAGCAGTCATGTCCTTGGGTCCTACAGTCATAATGCAGTTGCCGGCCTCATTGCACTGCTTGCCCACGAGGCTGTGGGCGTGCACCCGTGGAGGGTCGCTGTGGGTCACCAGGTCCACCTCGATTCGGGCCATCCCTGTGTAGTTGCAGATCTGCAGGGAGAAGGGAGATGAAAGGAAGGCACAGCACCCTTGTGCTGGGGCAGCATCAGGCCAGCAAGGGCAGGACACCGGAGAGCCCACAGCACTCTCCGAAAACCCCTGCTACTCCCTCCCTATGGTAGCCACAGCTTCTACTGCAACCCTCTACTTCCCTAAGCACCACAAAATGCACAGGGCTTTTTAATATACAGATCACGTCCTTCTTCCATGGCACTCCCCCCACCGCCACTGCCTGCACAGGCCAGCCAAAAACACCACTCCATCTCCTCTCCAGAGCAGCTCTCACCTTCACAGTGGGATATGTCTTGCGCCCCTTCTCGCTGGATGCTCCCGGCAGCCCCCCGTGCGAAGGGCCTTCGCAGCCGTACCGAAACCGGAAACCACGCTGCAGAGGCAGAACAGGGGGTCAGCCCGCTGCCGGTCCCCGGGGCCAG